TGCGCAACTTATTCAATCCATGGCCCCTTCCTCCTGCCCGGCCCGTACCAAGGGTGTAGGCTAAAAGCCGAGAGACCGCCCGGCGAAGCACCCGCTTGTGCCTCGTTCGCAACGGCATGCCTCAGAGTAGAGTGATAGTGGAAGTGTTGGGTAGCGGTAGCAGTGGCGGGGTGTGTGTGTGTGGGGGTGCTGGTCGACCGGAATACAGCCGGACGCCACACCTCTGCTTCACCAGGCACCACCTCTTCGAATGCAGGCAAAGCAACCAGATCCGACACACTTCCACGGCAGCCAAGGCCTGATTTCAAGAAGCGGCACCCATTTCCCAGTCCCGGTGTTACCATGAGGGTTTTTGCCCCTATTTGGTAACGCCAGCCATTTTTTGCGGCCCACACCCATCGTTGCTTCTTTCGCCGGTATTCATTACCATTCGATACTTTTTCGAAGGTTGAGCCACTGTGAGCAAGTGTGATGACACGACAGAGGGCAACGATTAATTTGACGTTCATTAATCATGGTCAATGATGGTGACGCGAGTCGGTCGTCGACGGCAGCTTCGACGAAGGACGCGACAATGCACAACATGTTCAAGGTAAGGCTCGAGGACCAAAGTCGCGCGAGATGGACCGACACCACTCTCTCCGCGTCTCACCGCGGCATTCACCTTGCAAGCCTTTGCTAGTTGTTTCTCAAACAACCAAGCAGAGTCCCTCCATCCCCATCCTCCCCTCCCCCACCCACTCTCTGTGGCCGAAGCTCTTGGCTGAGCTCGACGTGGAGGTGGTGCTTGGCGAAAGCTTGGTGAGTGTGGAAAAGGCGGTGTTTGGAATTCGGCGAGATTTCGTCGGTTTTCGCCGCCCGTCTGGGGCCCCGCTTCCCGGGGCGTACAGGCAAACCAAGGGGTAGAGCGGTCCAGGAAGACCGTCCCACCATGCGCCGGACAGAGTCCATGGTCCAGGCCACCTTTCCGCCGCTCAAATCCTCGTCCTCCGCCCCTCACCCCCGCCCGTTTCACGGAACACCGGCGGCTCGCGCTTCTCCCGCCCCGCTTCGCCTCGCCACCCGTTCGGGCCACGCCTTTCCGACCTCGCACGACGGCCTGGCAGCCATGCAGGTGTGTGCGGCCGAGCCGTCACGTGGCGGGCGTCCCCGCCGTTCTCTTGCCCGCTTTGCCTCGGCGCCGGTCCTCGGCATGGCCCTCGCTCGTCCGGACTCGCCGCTTGGCTTTGTCCGGGCCGCATCGTCGGCGCCGGCGCTCGACCTTGAGCCGCGCCCGCCGGTCCTCTCGCGCAAGCGCGCTCTGTCCAACCCCTGGCTCGTCACCGGTGGGTGTGACGATCCGGACGTCGAGGCATCCATGGCTGGCGACTGGGACTCGCCGTCGTCCGCCGCCCTCTGCTTCTGTCCGCCAGCCAAGAAGCACCGTGGCCTCACGCCGCCGCCGATGCTGGCCATGGAGGTCGCGCTGCCGCGGATGACGCCCGCCGCCGAAGTCTCGCCGGCGTTCCGTCGGACTCCCACGCCGCCGTTCTCGCCGCCGTCGCTCGTTCACAAGCATCTGCGGAGGCTTGTTCGTGAGGACGCCGCGCCGGTCTTTGAGTCGGCCGTCCCGCGTCACCGCGGCGCCCCGGCGAAGGCCACCGCGGCGTCGGCGCGTGCTCCGCCACTCGCCACCCGCTGCCCGACCTGGTGGATGTGCTACGAGCTTGCGCTCCGCATCCGCGACCTCGTCGGCTCGACCGACCAAGCCTTTGCCGCTGTCGTCAGGTCCTGGTCGCCTGTCCTTAACTCGTGGCTCACCGAGCAGCAGTCGCGGCTCAAGGCCCACACCCTCTCGCCGACCGAGATCTCGTTGCTGGAGGAGCTGGATCTCATTGACAGTGAATGCGAATGAGTTGCCCTGATGACCTTGGTGTGGGTGAGTGTGTGCTGGTTGGCTTGGCTAGCTGGAGGCGTGTGTGGGCGACAGCTAACAGTGGGAGCACTTTTACCACTCCTACTTCTTCTTGGCAAGTGCCTGGAGGTACTCGGGATAGGCCATGACCGACGACGAGCGGTCTTCGACGAGGAACGAGCAAAACGAGGCGTGGTAGCGGCCGTCCTGCTTGACGATGTAGACGGGCATGTACTCGTCGCGCTGCGAGCGGATGAGCGAGATCATAGCAAAGACGTGGGCAGAGAGATCGTTGTCGAGCGGCTGGAGGCGGAGCTGGGTCGACTCGACCGAGGCCAGTGAGTCCATGCCAAAGACTGCGCGGATGACCGGGCCGGGCGTGTCGCGGCCGACCCAGAGCCAGAGCGCCGACATGGTGTCGAGGAGCATGACGTGGTCCGAGCCGAGGCTCGCGGCGGTGAGCGAGAGCGTGAGCGGAAGCTTGCTCAGCTGCGGGTTGACCGGCCCGGGCTGGACGCGGAAGAGCCGCGGCGCAATGGTGTGCAGAAGGTAGTGGACCGGGAGAGTGCGGGCGCGAGTGAGCGCAAACGACCGCCCGTCGACCGAGCCGGCCCCCTCGACACGCAGCGCCCGGTTCTTGAGTCCGGCGAGTGTGTAGTACGGGAGAAGGCGGAGCGAGGCCGGGAGCACAAGCTGGCCCGAGCCACCGGCCGACTTGGAGAGGCTCTTGAACGACTTGACGATATCGTCCATCTTGTTGAGCATGGCCGACCGCGCATCCTCGATGGTCGACGACTCAGCCTTGAGCGTCGCCATCTTGAGGAGCAGCGCCGCCATGCACGGCGCGTCCGCCGCCTGGTACACCGCTGGCAGCTCGGCCACAATCGGGAGCGCCAGTGTGTGGACCCGAATGCGTCGCTCGCCGTTGGATGCCGTGTACAGGAGCGCGGCCTGCATGGTAGCGTAAGAGAACTTGGACCGCGCGCCCTCGAGTGCAGAGTCTTCGATGGCAATGGTGACGCCAAACGTCGACGCCGCATCCACGTTGGGCAGGGCGAGCAGGTCTGACGACCGCGCAAAGTAGTGTCCGTGGAAGCCGGTGATCTTGAGCCCGCGCGAGCAACGGATCCGCATCACCGCCTCCCACCCGGTCGGCCGCGTAATCATCGCCGATAGGTCCGCCGACACCCGCTGGCCGTCCTTGGAGAGCGAAAAGTTGGGGTAGAAGAAGACCTTGCCGCCCGTGTGCCGCGAGAGCGACGAGACCGTCGAGAGCTCCGACGGCCGCTGTGCGAGCATGAACAGGTCAAACGAGACGTGGAGCGGCGCGGCGTCGACAGCAAGCAGCTTGTAAAAGTTGTCAGCAGGCGTGAGGAGCGCAGACTCCTTGGCCGTTCCGATGGCCTTGCGCTCGTCGCGCGCTTTGACCGCGCCGGCGCCGACCGACGGCCGTCCGGCCGCCACCACAAGCACCTTGCCGCCGACGTGGCCCACCATCGAGAACGCGGCCTGCAGCGCGGGCCCGAGCGCCGCGCCGGAGTCTTGGTTGTCCTCAAACATCGTCGGGAAGCCCTCGAGCAGGTGCTCGATGTTCTCGCGCGCCTCAGACGCCCGCACAAGCATGCGCGGGGTCGGCGCAGGGAGCTCCACGCCGTCGGCAAATTCGGAGACGACCATCATGCGCGGCTGCATGAACGCCGAGTCGAGCCCGTAAAAGTGCAGCTTCGAGTCGTAGGTGATAAACGCCACCAGCGCCCGCTCGTCCTCATAGATGTCCTCCAGCGAGTTGGAGAGCGTTGAAGCCACCACCTCGGGAATCGACGACGCCGCTGACGTCGCTGACACGTCAATGACAAACACGTACGTCGGCGGCTGCGGCGCGCGCATCATGTACTCCTTTGGCGCCACATACTCGACAGACCCGCACGAGAGCTCGGTCCGCTCTGCCGCGTCGACCCGTCGCCCGCGCTCGTCGACCCGCCCGCGGAACGCCTCGGGGCAGTCGTTGACGAGGTGGCACACCGAGCACCGCCACTTGCGCCCGTGGTCGAGCCACTGCACAAACGGATGCACATACGATCGGCACCGCCGGCACCGCACAATCCCGGCACGCGTCTGCTGTACCGTTGGCACCTCCTCGTCAGGCTTCTCTGCAAACGGCGAGAGCACAGCACCAAACGTGAGGCCCGTCGAGTTGAGCAGAGCCTCGGTCGCAGGCACCGCGTGGATGGTCGGCCGGAAGTGGAACGGGTCCGACGACATCGGGCCCAGCGACGGATGCTGCGCCACATCGTCAGGCGGGAGAATGAACTCGTCGTTGACCGGCCGCGGGACTCCGTCGCCGCCGTGCTGCTCAGAGCCGAACCGAAAGTTGGCTGAGCCCGTCGGCGGGCCGGTGCTCGACGACGCCCGTCCGTTGCTAGCTGAAGCTGCGTGCGGCGGCTGCGGCGCCGCGCTCGAGCCCGGGCCCACTGGGCCGCTGCCAGCCGGCGGCGGTCCAGTCGTGGCCGCGCTTGGGGGCGGGTACCGCCGCATCGCAGGGTTGCCCGTCCGGGGGGGGCCTGCAGTCCGGGGCGGGCCACCGGCGGGAGGCGGGCCACCAGCGCGGGGCGGGCCACCAGCGCGGGGCGGACCACCGGCGCGGGGCGGACCACCAGCGCGCGGCGGGCCACCGGTAGGAGGCGGGCCACCGGTAGGAGGCGGGCCACCAGTAGGAGGCGGGCCACCGGTAGGAGGCGGGCCGCCGGCGCGGGGTGGACCGCCAGTCGGCGGCCGGCTGATGTCGGCGGCGGGCCCATACGGACCCGCGACGGGTCGGCAGCAGTCTCGACCGACAGCGGCACGCCGCCGCCGACAATCGACTCGGAGTTCTCCATGCCAGGCGGAGCGACAGCGCCTGTGGGTGGCGGCGGCATGCGTGCACCACCGCGACCGCCACGGGCAGGCGGGCCGCCGCGACCGCGTGTCGGAGGACCACCACGACCACGGGTAGGCGGTCCACCACGTCCACGCATAGCCGGACCGCCACGACCACGAGTCGGAGGACCACCCCGAGTGGGCGGGCCGCCACGACCACGGGTGGGCGGACCACCACGGCCACGGGGAGCACCAGCGGAAGCACCCGCAGCTGCTGGGTTGAACATGCGGACCTGGCCCGGACCACCACCAGCAGCAGGACGACCAGTAGGAGGCGCAGCAGTCGAGGAGGGAGGCGGTTGACGGCCTTGAGGAGGAGCCCCAGCAGGAGCAGGACGAGTGCCTGCAGGAGGAGCTCCCATGCCAGGACGAGTAGAGGGTGGGGGGCCTGGGCGACCTGTGGTAAGAGGAAGGGGGGGGGGGTGCAAGGGGGGGAGGGTCAATGGAGAGGGAAATGTGTGAGACTTGGCAGAAGGTGGGACAGGGAAAGGGGAGGGGAGGGGGGCAAGGGAGAAGAGGGGGTAGGGGGGGGGAAGGGGAAGGACATACCGGGTTGCATGTTTGTTACTCTCCACCGGAGGAGTTGGGTGTAGTGGGTGGGAGTGTGTGCGGAGAGGGTGACTGGGGAGGACGTATCCTTGGTAGGGGGAGTGTGGCGGACGGGGAGTGTGGGAGAGGGAGTAAGCGCGGCGGGACATCGCGACGTGGCAGGAAGGTCATTTCCAGATGGCTGAAAGGGGGACGGGTATGGGGGGGGGGGAGTTGCAAGCTGTTGATGGTAATGGGCATGGTTCTCTGTTAGAGGCTGTGTCTGTGATGGTGACGATGATGATGATGGTATGGGTGGTGGTTGCGGCGGTTGTTGTTGGGGACTTGCCCTTGGGGACTTGCCCTGGAGGCCTGCATGTCCGCTGTATGGGGGGGGGGGAGGGGGGGAGGGGGGGGAGGGGGGGGGGGGGGGATAGCCAGTGTCCTAAGATTAGGGCAGGATCGGTAGTGGTGGTAAATATAGGGCGAGATCGCGCATCGAGCGTATGGTTGGGAGGATGGCTTGGCCTCGGCATGGTCTCGCCTTGACTTTGGCTTGGCCTTCTTTTGCACGGCCTTTTCCGGCTTTGCGGTGCTGATCGCGATCACCGACGCCAAAGTTGCTTGCTTGTTCAGGCGACGACCACTTGTCGACTACCATGGCTCGCGGGAAAGGCAGAGGCAGGGGCCGTGGAGGATGCGAGTCTGAGGTCTTGTTGTCGGTACGGAGTCAGGAAGAGTGTGTGCGGAAGAGCGAGAGGCTCCGGGACGGGAAGGGGTGGGGGTGGGGGGGGGGGGTAGAGGGGGAGGAAGTGGAGAGGGAGAGAGCGTGTGTTTAGGCTCACCTATGTGCGGGCGTTGCTGGGGCGTAGTCCAAGCGACAGTCATCGCGGGTGTGCAACCGGTCGATCTGTTACCGGGCCGAGGTGACGGTCGACCTGACCCTTGAATCTGGGCAGTGTTGCATCCGAACGACAGCGTTTGACTCTGTAACTGGCTCGTACACACGTGGTTCGAAGACCTCGTTCCTCAACAAGTTTGATGTTGGCTCCAGATACCCATGTTGGTACGACGAAGACGATCCGTCGACGGTCATTCTGGAGAAGAAGTTCCCGTGGGCAGCGCTGATCATCTCCATCTTGCTCGGCTTGTGGTTACTGATTTCGTTCTGCGTATTCTGCATTGGCGGCATCGGCACGTTCTGTGACTGTGAAGAAATCTCGGAAGGCTGCGACGCTTGCTGCCCGTGCTGGGACCAGTACGACGGCTGCGTCTGCCCGTCGTGCGCGCCAGCAGCGGCGCCGGCAACAACACGGACGTCGACGTACGGTAACTCGCGCTCGAATCAGCCGAACCCGGGCTTGTGGATGGAGTCGCTGTCATCGTCGTCCGAGGAGCCGCGCCCGTACACAAGCGCGTACGGCGGAGCCGTGCCCAAACCCAAACCCAAGCCGCACAACGAGCCACTGCCGAGCTACACCGGGTTTGGCGGAACAGCCGCCAATCTGCCGCCGCCGCCGGCATATGACGACGTCGTCGTGTAGTCTGAGCCGCCTGTAAACCGCGAGCGCTCACCACTCGTATCCCACCTGGAGCCAGCTCGGCTCGGTGTAGGTGATGCCGAACAGAGCACAGAACTCGCGGAGCTTGTCGATCTTGCCCAGCGCCGTCTTTTCAAACGTCTGGCACGCCCTCCAGTCAAAGTACTTGGGCGAGGAGAAGGTGTACGAGACGGTGTGCAGGGCGAGGTACGAGCCCTCGCCGTTTGGCCCCACTGGCCGACCTGGACTCCGAGCTCGGCCAGCGCATCGTCGATCTCCTCGGCATCCATATTGCCAGCCTCGAGCCCATTGGCCGCCAGCCACTTTGAGATCCAGTAGTCATGCACATCCTTCTTCACCCCAAAGTGCCGTCCCGATCGAGTCCGCTTGAGCTTGGGCGCTTCAGCTGCAGTCGGCGTGAGTGTGTGCGCAGGACGGGTGTGTGTGGGAGGGTGCAAAGAGAGGGGATCGGGAGGGGGGAGGGACATCATGACGTACTCTGACACAGCAGGCCATCGATAGAGGCATTGTACACAATGCCAAACACCATGATACAGCTGATTGTGGCGGGGAAGGTGTGAGAGACGATCGAGAAGAGGAGGAAGAGGAGGAAGAGGAGGAAGAGGAGGAAGAGGAGGAAGAGGAGGAAACCACGACCCAAATCGGACGCAAGGTGGGGACGGGGGAACGGGGATGGGGGGACGGGGATGGGGAGGAGGGGGATGTGTGAGTGGAGGAGGGAGACAGAGAGGGAGAGGGAGTGAGAGAGAGAGAAGGAGGGAGGAGAAGGTAAGCATACGTTTGTTGCTTGCTGCGACCGCTGCGTCCACCGCTCATGGCCGAGAGTGCAGTGTGGCGAGTTGGCGAGCTGGCGAGTGGGCGTGGGCATGAGCGTGGGCGTGGGCGACGGAGGGGAGGGAAAGGAGCAGATATGAATTGGCGATGTGGGTAAGTCTTGGGCGTTTACGACGAGTCGGAGGAGGATGACGAGGAGGAGGAGGAGGAGGAGCCCGAGGAGGAGGAGGAGCCCGAGGAGGAGGAGGATGAGGAGCGGACGGTGCCAACCATCGACGAGTCGGACGACTTTTCGTTGAGGAAGAGCGGTGGTGAGGGCGATGATGACCGATCAGGGTTCGATGTTTCCGACGATCGGAGCGAGCCGTGCGAGACTAGTAGGAGAAGGAGGAGAGTTAATGGTGTGAGTCTGTGTGCGAGAGCATGGACACAGGGTGTGTGTGTGCGGATACAGGCTCAGAGTCGACCCGGTGTAGATCCGCAGCCGGCTTAGCCAACCAGGCGCAGATAAGCGTTCGACTACGCCGGCCAGGCGCAGATCAGTAGCTGGCTTAGCCGACGCTGAGCACGAGCAGATCAGTAGCCGGCTTAGCCGACCAGGTGCAGATCAGCAGCCAACTACGCTGAGCACGAGCAGATCAGCAGCCGACCACGCCCAAAGCCAAAGATCTGACCCACCCACCACCTTCACATCACCGACGTCGCATGACAGGAGCTGGCAGCTGCAGACCTAGCGATTCAGCTTGTTGCAGCTCAAACTGCAGCAGCTGGGCGTATCCCCCCCCCCCCCCCCCCCGCCACACACACCACCCTATATGACGTACCCTTCTTCTTACGCTTCACCCGCTCATACTCCTTCCCATCCTTCCACAGAAAGTTTGAGACATGGGCAACATTGCCCTTGTTGCCACGCTTGCGACCAGCAGCGACCCGCTGCTTGCGAGGGACGACCTTGCGGGTACGCGAGCTGGTCGACTTTGTCTTCTTGCTCTTCCCTTCCTTACTCCCCTTGCTCTTGCTCTTCTGCTTCTTCTTTACACTGCTGGCCTCGGCCTGCATCTTCTTGCTCTTCTTGCTCATCTGCTGCCTGCCCGCGTAGTCGAGTACCAGTGCCGCTGTTGCCGCTGCTGCCGCGGACGCTGCCGCTGCCGCCACTTCGGCCGACCGCCTTTCTTTGCTGCCATTGATCGATACTCGATAGAAATGCTGGCGGTAGGCCATCGACTGGCCGAGACTGACCCAGTTGGCGCTGTGAGACCGGCTGCCTGCCTCGCCAAGCAGGTTGCGGTTGTTGCTGTTGTTGCGGCTTCTGCAGGCTTTTTATTCCGCTATGCACGCGTGAGGGTGGAGCGCGGGATCGATCAGAGCAACGGGGCTGGTGGTGGATGACGCGACTCAGCCAAGGAGCGGCTCGCCGGTGGCCTTGTTGACGACAAAGTGGCGGGTGAAGCGATCGCCGTTGAAGAACGACAGATCCTCGAGGCATGTGGTGTTGGCGGCCGAGGTGAGCATGGACGATCCGCCTCGGAGCGCAGCGTGCGAGGCCTGGAGGGCACGGAGGCGGGCGGCAAAGGGAGTGATGAAGGTCATCTCGTCACGGGAGATGAGCTCGACGTCGCGGCCGTCGTGGGCAGGCAGCGGGCCGCCGTCAGTGGCAAGCACCCGCTGCAGCGAGTTGAAGAACTCCATAAAGCGCGCCTTTTGATCGCCAGCGCCCTTCCACGAGAGCAGGACGTAGTACCGCTCGCCCTCACGGACAACCAGTTTTAGCCAGGCCGATGACTCAAGGTAGTGGGTACGGAAGTAGTGCAGCGAGAGGTCGTTGCGATCAAAGGAGAGGCTCGCTGATCGGAACACGCCCGACTTGGTCACTGTCATCGACTCGTGGGTGATAGCAACTGTGACTCGGAAGACAACCCAGAGCGCAATAGCGAGGACACACCAGAGCGAGGTGATGAACATGGCGAGGCCAGCGAGGCCGTAGTAGACCTCAGACGAGGTAAAGTAGCCTGCGTTGTACGGTCGGGTTCCTCTCGTCAGCAGCAGTCCTGTCGCCGCAAACATCAGAATGACAAAGAGCGGGAAGAGTGTCAGCTTGCCAGTAAAGGTGTACTTGATCACTACCGCATCACCATCACCACCACGGTCATCACCACCAGCTCCCGCTCTGCCTCGGCCACCTGGCCCTGCCCCTGCCCCTACCCCTCCCTCCGACCTCAGCAGCGGCTCTCCGTCCATCCCAACTCTTCCTCTCCGCATGACTGCACCCTGAACAAGTGTGTGTACACTATGTAGGGAAGGACAAGTACACAGAGAGTGGTGGGTGTGGATGTGGTGGTGGTGTGTGTTCGGCACCTGCGACTTTGGTCACTTTGCCTCTGCTCTTGCCAAGACAACCGTGTTGACGACCGTGGTGGTGATGATGGGGGGGGTGGGGATCATGGTAGGAATGTGTGGAGGGGAAGTGATGTGGGTGCTAGTCGATGCTGATGGCGTGATGAGGGTGATCGGTGATCGGTGATTGGTGACGGGGATGTGAATGGGTTTGAGGTGTTGATGCGTGTGCGTGTGTGTGTGTGTAGGGGAGAGGGGGTCAGGGGGGGGGGGAGATCGGTGAGGTGATACGATGATCTGCGATGATGATCCGCAATGTTGAGGGTAATATCGGTAGTGGTGATGATCGGTGACGCAGGTGTGACGGCAACGTGGCTGTGAGACCATGAACCAACCAGGGCAGGGGACAGCAACTACTGATCGACATTGCCCTCTGCACAGGGAGTGCGCCACACCAATACAAAGACACCAGTGTTAGTTCAACAATCCCATTACAATGGTCATCGATCATCGATGTAGCAATGGGTGCATCTGGCGCTTAGCTAGCTTATCCGGTATGATGATCATATCATTCTCCACAACACAACTGGATGGACAGTTTGTCGCTCCCTTCGCCCCTCTCTCTCGTTCAATGGCCAGTCTGTCAGCTTGAGCCAACCAGGACTTTGTGCTCGCAAACTTGACCCACAACCTTCCTCATTTACTACCTCTTTGGCCATGTCTGCCATCTCAGACTACTCGTATTCATACGGCGGCGACAATGAGGATGGCAACGAGCCAGAGGCCGAGACCAAAGTCATCTCGCACGACTCGGGCGACTCGGGCGACTCGGGCGACTCGGGCGACTCGGGCGACTCGGGCGACTCGGGCGACTCGAGTTCGTTGCCTCTGAGAGTGACCACGTCTGCAGCGGTTCGTCGTCGTCATCGTCGCGGTGGTGGCGAATCGCTGCCATCGACTGCTCCTAGTGTCGGTGGATCTGGCGCGTGGGCGAGTCCGGGCCTCAACTCGACCTTGACATCATCGGTCAAGTTGCAGAGCCTGGCTAATGCCCAGGTGGAGACCGGCGCCGGCCCGCTCACCGCTCCGCTCCTCAAGTCGGGCGCGCTGATCGGAAGCCTTCCGCCTCCGGCTCCACCACCTATGCCCGAGATTTCGTCAGTGCCGGCGAGGACCCGCAAGCCTCCGCCGCACAAGTTTGTCCGCCCGCCTATGCTCGGCATCCCTGTTCATCTCAGCTGGAAGGAGCTCGAGCCGCCAAAGGTTGGCCGGGTCCAGTGGATCCGCTCGGTCATCGAGCTGCCAGTGGCCATGCTCATTCTGTTTCTCTCGGTCTCGCTCGCGCTCGGTGGCCTGGTCTACGCGCTCACGCCTGCAAACGAGATGGCGTACGGCGTCAAGCGCCAGCATCAGCTCTGGTACCTCTCAGTCGAGCTACTCGGATGGGTCGCCCTTCGGGTTGTCATTGGCGCCATCTTCCATCGGGCCGAGCCGCGGTGGTACTTTTCGTTTCCGTTTGTGGTGCTCGATGGCTCCAAGCGGACGCTGACAACGGTCATCTGGGCCATCGTCTCGCTCGCGCTGCTCGAGACCGTGGTGGGCGACTCTGATGGCGGGCGACTCGACACCCGGCTCAACAAGGCGCTCTCGACTATTCTATTTGTCTTTTCCGCCCATCTCGTCAAGCGCGGCCTCGAGCGGGTGTATCTCGAGCACATCAACCACGAGCTGCACGGCGCCGACCTCGAGGCACACCTCGCCAAGGAGGCATCCGTCGCAAAGTTGCGGATGTGCCGACCGGAGCTCGCCTCCAAGTGGGTCACCCCGCCCGAGCCGCCGGTCACCTTTGATTTCACCTACACCATGCGCGCCCTCCTCGGCCCCGTCCTCAAGCCTGAGGTCTTTACCCACTCGGAGGAGGAAAAGCAAGCGGCAGCAGCGGCGCGGGCCTCGGACATTGTGCTCAACCTCGACCCGGGCGATGTCGGTAAGTTTGGCATCGCCGACGTCGAGGCTTACCTCGAGCCTGGACCCGAGGCCGACGCCGCCATGGCCCTGTTTGCACCAAGCAAGCGTGCCAACATCGCCACTATGGAGGTCGACTACGAGACGGCAGTCTCGGCCATCACCGATGTGTTCAACTCGCGCGAGACGCTTTACAAGGTTCTCCACGAGCGAGCCAAGATCTCTGCCATCATTGCGTACGTGACTGGCGCGGTCTTCTGGCTCTCGGCCTCGGTCGGGGTCCTCATCTCGTACGAGATCGACTTGCTCAAGTTTGTGCTCCCGCTTCTCGGCTCCTTCCTCGGCCTCTCGTTTGTGTTTGGCAACACGGTCCAACAGGCGTTCAACGCCTTTGTCTTTACCGTTGTCCTCCACCCGATCTCGCACGGCGACCGCATCACCGTCACCGTCGGTTCGTTTACCTATCCAACGCTCATTGTCTCGTCGACCTCGCTCCTCCTTACCGAGTGCTACGCCACGGACGGACGGCTCTTTGTCTTTCCCAACTCGCTGCTCTACGGCGCGGTCATCACCTCGTTCAAGCGATCGCGTGAGTTTGCGCTCCTCCTCTCGCTCCAGGTCCAGGCTGATATCTCGCTCGAGCAGTTTACCTCGGTCGAAGCCGATGTCAAGGAGTTTCTCAAAGTCGACTCGGGCACCATGCCGTGGGACAAAGAGATCATGGTCTTTGTTGACGAGATCACCAACTCGAACCGCCTCCAATTTAACGTCCGCGTCAAGCTCATCGCCGTCACATGGAACGCGCCCAAGAAGTTTGTCCTCGCCCGCACCCGCCTCCTTCTCAAGGTCCAGGAAATCCTGCGAACCCACGGGATCTCGTACGAGCAGCCGATCCAACCCGTCCGCTTCATCAACGGCCCGCAAGCTGCGGTCTTCAACGGCGGCTTTGATGCAGGGCTCACCGCTGGGCAAGCCGGAGTCGTTGCTCAGGGCCATGCTTCCGCTCCAATGGGAACATGAGCTCGGCTGCGAGGCTGGAGCCTGGCTCGGGGGTGGACACCCACTTGTCTCTCCTGCTGCGTTTCCGACTCGACGTTATCGCGGTCATGGATCCAGCGCACGCCATCGACAGCGCAGGCTTGCGAGTGCTCTTTATCCCCGGAACCGGCGCGCATGAGGCGCAGATGGCAAAGTACACTCTCTCCACAGCACACTACTCGGCGTCTGCCGATCAGTATCCCGTCGCCTGGTTGCCGCCGGCCTCGACCCGACTTGTTGATCTCCCCGAAGCGCGGCGCCAGACAAATCGTTGGGCGCCGCACATTGTCCCTGCATTCTTGCAATACGCCATTCGCGCGTATGTTGAGCCGTGGTGGACCGGCGTTGCCCTCGACGACCCGGCGCCCGGCTGGTTTCGCCCGCTCGACGCAGGCCGGACCGACTGGGGGCAGGACGGCGAGATCGCGGCTGTCCTGGACGCGCTTCGCGAGCTTGGCGAGGACGAGCCAGGAGCCAAGGTCCTGCTCTTTGGTTGCTCCCGCGGCGCAGCGGTGGTTGCAGGCGCCGTCGCTGCTCTCGGCTCGGAGACGTGCGACGTCGACGTAGCGGTGGTCGGCGCTGTTCTCGAAGGATGCTTCGATACCATTCCCAACGTCCTCGCCGCGCGCTACACGGGGTTCGGTGGCAGGCTTGTCGAGCGTGTGTTGCGGCTGGTGACGTCATGGCGACCGGATGGACCGTCGCCGCTGGCGCAAGCTGCCGCCATTGCCGCCGCGGGCATCCCGCTGCTGATGGTCACCTCGGCTGTTGACACCAAGGTTCCGCCGCAGTGCACCGTCCGGCTTCACCGCGCGATTGCCAACGCAGGCAGCAAGCCGCGGCTCCTCATCCTCGCCGACTCTCCGCATCCGATGTATACCTGTGCAAACGCTGACGACATGGCTGCGTACAAGGCGGTACTGCTCGAGTTTATCCACAGTCTCTGATCGATGCCTCCACTGCCAGGCCCCCATCCGAGGCGAGTTGCCGCCCGATTCCGAGCCGCTGACTGCCTATCGCCGAACCTCGAGCCGTTGTTCGCTTTCCAGCCGATCTCTCCCCCTCCCACTCAACTCCACCCATCGACATGCTCCGACCCTTTGCCAGGCTCATCGGCTGACCCCCCCGGACCGAGATCAGACCAGGCCAGACCATGGCCACAGCACAGCCGTCACATCAAAGCGATCAGTCGGCTAGACGGATAAAGACATGATCACCCGAGGCACAGACGTCAACGAGGTAGTGCTTCGGATTGAGCAGAGGACCATCAGGCGATGCCTTGCGATACTCTACAGGTAGAGCCATAGTGAGACCATCCGAAGTCTTGCCCTTGCACCTCGCCCTTGCACATGCCCCGAGCCATTGGACAGGCTGTCCACCTTCACCAGCCTCCACGAACACCACCTTGTCACCAATGTGCACCACAATACGCATGAACTTTGCAACTACCACAACGTTCCCCCGAGCGAGGTGTGTGTGTGTGTGTGTGTGGGTGGGGGGGGGGTGCATGTGGGCGTGTTGGCGTCTTGGTCTCGCCCCTCTCTCGACGTCACCCGTCACCGCCATGTCGGCCTCTTGCTTGGTTTGACCGCGCGTCAAATCGATGCCGCATCAGGCGATCCTACCTGATCCGCTCTGCCTCGGCTGACGTCTTTGTCTCGGGCGACCGCAGCGAGTGTAGTGGGGCCACGATGGTGGCATGATCTCGTCCTTGGCCAGATCAACCTATTGATGAGTCTCTTGCCATCGGATCTTCGATGGATTTATCGCGGTTCCGCGTCTGTTCAACCTCCAGTTGCGAGCTCCGAACGCCAAGACTGTAGTCTGTGGCATGAGATGGCGTCAGATGTACAGCTGCGGCGGATCATCATGGTGGAATGGTGATGCCGACACGTCCCACTGCCCATCGCCGCATCGAGCGACAAAGTCCTCCTGGGAGAACCCCCCTCTACCACCGCATCCCCCCCCTCCCGTATCTGTTCTGCGCGCATGTCCCTTCCTCCTCCTCCCCATCAACCGATGGCGCGATGGGCGGCGTGCGGCGATTCAGCGGCGAGACGGCTGACGGGTGGAGAGCTGACATTGGGACATTTGCTCGGCGAAGAGGGCACAAAACGGCGATAGCATCACCACTACACTCGGATCATCCGTGGAGGGACAAGTCGTCCGAGTTTGTTCTCACCAACATGGCAGCAACGATGGACCTTGCATCTGACAGTGAGCCACTTACACGAGCGCATCCTTCTGCCTTTGCCGCTGGTGAGTCGGTGCCATCGCGCAAGCGGCGCGTTGAGCTGAGCGGTCCGGTCCGAGGGAAGCGGCGGGCACCGCTTCTGGCGGCAGCAGGCATGGAAGGCACTGGGGGAGCCGCAGTTAGCGGAGAGCAAGGTGGAAGGCTGCTTCAGTTTGTTCCGGTGGCTGCGGGCGAAGGCGTACTGTATGTGGCCCATCCTCCGCCGAGTCGGACTGGATTCGGCTGGGGCGGGCAAGGCGGCGGGTCGCGGAGCGGGAGCGGGAACGGAGGCGGCGGATGGAGCCCGGGCGAGAAGGGAAGCAGCAGTGGCGGGGCAAGCGGTGGCGATGTTATGGCTGAGTCACAGACTGCCACCGGTGCGCTCTTCCTTCCGCTCTCGGACGATCTGCTCATCAACGTGGCCAAGTACGACCAGATCTCGTTCCGAGCCCAGGTGACCGTCTTTGCCGGCGAGGAGGCTGGCAAGTTCTCACACAAAGCGCTCGGCTCAATCATCCACTTTTGGCGCTTTGACATGCTGACAGGTCAGCTCTACATTGCGGTCTCGCTGTGTTTTGAGGCGACCGCCGCCGACGCCTACGAGGCGTTGCGGCAGAAGCTCGTCGGCGAGTGAGGGGCTTGGGCGGCGATCAGGCGCGGCCGGTAGCGGCGAGACGGACGACAATCACGGTGACGTTGTCGGTCGATCCGACGTCAATGGCGGCACGGACGAGGGCTTTGGCCGCGGAAGCCTCGGTGCCGGTGTCTGTGACGAGCTCTTGAGCGACAATGGCGGCGGCGTCGTCGTCCGGGATGACATCCCACACGCCGTCACAGGCCATGATGAAGAAGGCTCCGGCCGCCAGCTGGGCCGCAGTCACAAGGGTGTCGGAGAGGTACGGCTCGGATGGGACAAAGTCCTTCATCGACCCGTCCCCGAGAGCGCGCGCGACGGCGAGGACCGAGACGACGCGGCCGCCGCTGACAAACCCGCCTGCAGCCTCGATGCGCTCGACCTCGTCGGCATCGTCGGCCTTGTGGTCGCGCGAGAGGCGGATTGCTGTAGCGTCACCAGCATCAGACTTCACCACCAGCACTGTCCGGGTGTCGCCGGCGTTGGCCGAGTGAATCCACGTTCCGCGCCCGGTAGAGTCGGGGACGACCAACGCAACCGCGACAGTTGCACCCGAGTACACGATGCCGTCCTCTAGCAGGGCATGATCGGCGTGAGCGAGCGCATCAGCCAGCGCCACACCGACGTGGCGGCCACCCGCGGTCCTACCAGCAACAGCCTCCAGCGATGTGGCCAGAATGGTCGGAAACTGCTTCTCCATCAGCGCCGACGCCTTTCGACCACCATGACCATCAAAGACAGCATACAGCGCCGGCTGCACGCCATCGACTTCGACCAGCTCCCCTGCGCCCGTCTCCAGCGCCTTGATCATGATGTGCTTGTCCTCCATTGTCCGTCGGTACTTGCGGTTCTTGTCCTCGGCCACCCCATCACCCATCACCACGCATCCGTTCCACATAGCCCCCACCGATCCGTCCTCGTCCACCGCCACCTCTGCGCCCGCCTCCACCTCTGCGCCCGCAGCCTTGTCTGCAACTGCCACCGGCTTGTCGGTAACGTCAGCCATGTCGTTCCTCAACAGACACACAGATATACCTAAGTACGCGTATGTGGGGAAAGAGTGGTTGTGACTCGCTCTCGTTCCCTGCCTTCCACCAGCTCGTGGTCCTTGGCTGGTGGTCAGCACCTGGTGTGGTGGTCACAGGTGCCTTTCGCACTGTGCTTTTGGTCCGACTCATCGACCACACCCACCCACCCACCCACCCCACCCACCCCACCCACATACATCAACTCCCAAATCCAATACTTTCTCACTCATCGGCTTGCCCCATTCAATCCGGATGCCCAGTCAGATCTGTAGCCGTAGTTGCCGGGATGCCTACCCTCCCGCCCCCAGATCTGATCTCATCTCGCTCCTTACACTACCCACATCACCGACAACCACAGCACCGTGTCTCTGCCATGAATCATCATGTACGCCCGTACAAGTAAATCCATCACTCGCTGTGTCATCCGAATCCCCAGATCCTTTGGTATGGCGCTCGACCCGGCCTGTCCCCGGCTAATGCCGACCGCCACAGCGGTCAAACTGCCGTAGCTCCGCTCTCCACACGACTCCTTTGCCGCGGCATGGCAACCAGCTCGACGTATGTGTCAACGACCGGGTCGACTTCTGGGGATGGGACCGGAGACGGGACGGGCTCGGGCTGTGGCATGGCAGCCGTCGTCATCGACTCGCCGACAGAGAGCGACGACGGTGAGCACAGCGTGTTTGAGGTCGGCAACGAGTCAATCGAGGTGGTCTGGACACGAGACGAGCGATCGCTGCGGCCGAGCGGGCTTCAGCCACCACCGCCGCCGGCTAAGCCGCCGCCACCGCCGCCACTCCCACCACCGATGGCCAATCCGCCGCCACCGCCTCCGATGCCGACCCCGGATGCGTGGGCTGAGGTGCTCCCGCGCGAGCCGCGGCGGATCTCGTCGTCCTCAGGAATACGAAGGCCGCCGACGCTCGGCATTCCACTCCGGCTGCCGACCTCGCTCTCACATGACATCTCATCGCGATCAAACCTCCAGGCGCTGGTGTCTGAGCTCCCGGTCGCCTGCCTTGGGCTGCTGCTTGCAGCTGGCTTTGCGGCGGCGGCGATCATTTTCACGGTCACGCCTGCATCAGAGGAGTCGTACTCACTCCCGCTGCAGTATGAAATGTGGTTCTGGGCCATCGAGCTGAGTGCGTGGGCACTTGTGCGGCTAGTGGTGGCGCTGGTGTACTACGCGATCAAGCCTCGGGTCTACACCTCATTTGTGTTCTACATTCTCGAGCGGACGCCGCGCGACATCACGTCGGTTTTATGGGGCGTCATGAGTCTCGCCATTACGCCACAGTTTGTGGGGCCGGATACTGAGGCGCGGCTGCGCAAGCGGCTAGTCCAGTTCCAGCTCGCGGTCACGCTCATCTACCTCGCACACCTGATCAAGAACGCGGGCGAGCGAATGTACCTCGAGCGGATTCACTACGACCTGTACGGATCCGAACTGGAGAAGCATGTGCGCCGCGAGGAGGCCATTTGCGCGCTGCGGCGGTGCCGGAAGAGCGCCGTGCCGCACTGGGTGACGCCTGCGCAGCCGCGGCACACCCACGATGTGCGCAAGACGATGCGCGGCCTGCTGGGCGACGCGCTCGGCGAGGAGCACCACTTTTTCACGCCGGCGACCAAGCGCGAGGCTGCGGCTGTTCGCGCCGCCGACATACTGGTCAACCTCGACCTCGATGAGCGCGGCTACTTTGAGCTCCGCGACATCGAGCGCGAACTCGGGCCCGGGCCACAGGCGCTGGCGGCCATGGCCATGTTTGTCCGCTCGCGGCGGCGGCAGCTCGACCGTGTCCAAGTCAGCTACGAGGAGGCCGTCGATGTCATCTTTGAGGTTTTTGAAGAGCGCGAGCGGCTGTATCGGTCGCTTCACGCCCGCGGCGAGCTCTCTAACGTCCTCCATCGGGTCTCATCTGTCCTGTTCTGGTTTGTGGCGGGCATGGCAGTCCTTGTGGCGCTCGGCGTCTCGTTCTTTGAGCTTGTCATTCCGACCGGCACCTTTCTGCTCGGTATGTCTTTCCTCTTTGCGTCGACGGCGACGCGAGTCTTCAACTCGATTGTCTTTCTCCTTGTCCAGCGCCCGTTTGCGGTCTCGGATCGAATCAAGGTCATCCATCCGTCGGCCGAGTACCCGACGCTCATTGTGCACGCGGTCCACCTGCTAACAACCGAGGCCTTTACCCCTGGCGGCGAGCTGTACCAGCTGCCCAACGCCATGCTCTACGACGCGGTCATCGTCTCGCACCGCCGCTCGCGCGATCACGCCATGCATGTGGCGGTGACGGTCGCAGCCAAAACCGGAGCCCACGCGGTGGCCGCGATCGAGGCGCGCCTCAAGGCGTTCTTCCTCGAAGACACCTCGATCCCGTGGGATGTCAGCTCAGCTATGGTCTGGATCTCGGACCTTGTCGACTGCCACAAGCTCTCGCTCTCGGTCTGGGTTGGCCTCATTGACGTCAACGCCCACCAAGTCGGCAAGTGCCTGACGGCCAAGTCCAAGCTCTACGTTCAGCTTCGTACTATCCTCGACGACCTCCACCTCGACTACGAGCAACTCCCGCTCCCGATCACTGTCCGCACGCACTCGGACGACGACTTGATCCCACCGGCCGCGCCTGGTACCGCCCGCACGAGCGCTGGCGCAAGTGTCACCACCGCCGCACAATCTTGACATGTTCTCCTCTGCAAGTCATCACAATGGTTGACCAAGATCTGGCCCGATTCCTACGGCACCACCTCGTCGGCTCTGCCGCTCTCATCACTCATGACATGACCCGTTGGCCAATATGGCTCCTGTTGGGTTGAGCACCCTCATTTCGCCGAAAACGAATGAATGGAAGGCATCATCGGCCTTCGTGAAGGCGTCACCGTGCGGGGAACGACCTGCCACTCGACTCGCATACGACCTACAGAGGGTACGTCAGTTGAAGGCCAACCCCCCTCCCCCCCCCCACCACACCACCAGCGACCCATTCCCCACCACCAGCAGAACATCTTCCATTTATACATACCATAGGGTATGGTAGTTGGGAGCAGAGGTGGTAGGGGTACTGGGCAAAGGAAGTGGGTAGGAGGGGGGGGGTGGCGGGAGTCGCCGAAAGGGATCATGAATTCATCCCGTGACGCGGAGCAAGGGCTCAGAGGAAGGTGGTCGAGCAGGGCGTGACGCACACTCACACAAGGAGATGGTGATTGGAGGGATAGAACATGTCTGTTGTTGGGATCGACTTTGGTAATGACACGTGCAAGATTGGCGTTGTCAAGTCTGGCGGCGTGGATGTGCTCATGAACGACATCTCCAAGCGCGAGACGCCGACTATGGTTGGCTTTGGCTCGGGCGAGCGTCGGCTGGGCAACAACGCCAAGACCTCGCACGTCATGAACCTCAAGAACACGGTGACTTCGATCAAGTCGCTGCTTGGCGCCAAGTACTCGTCGGAGGCGATCACCGCGCTCAAGGACTCGCACTTTGTGCACTACGAGCTCGTCGAGGGCGAGAAGGCCGACTCGGTCGGCATCCGCGTGCCGATGGGCGACGAGAAGCGGACGATCTCACCCGAGTCTGCGGCGTCGATGATGCTCGGCCATCTCAAGGAGATTGCGGAGAACTCGCTGATGGCCAAGGTGTCTGACGTGGTCGTCTCTGTCCCGTCGTTCTTCACCGACGCCGAGCGGCGTGCGATGGTTGACGCGCTCCAGATTGCGGACCTCAACTGCCTCAAGCTCTTCAACGCGACGACTGCGGTTGCGCTCGAGTACGGGTTCTACAAGCCCGAGATCACCGACGAGACGCCGCGGACGGTCATGTTTGCCGACATGGGCGAGTCGTCGTTCGAGGTTGCGATTGTCAAGTTCACCAAGGACAAGCTCGAGGTTGTGGGCCGCGCAGCGGACCGGACGCTTGGCTCGCGCAACTTTGACGATGCGCTTTGCAAGCACTTTATGAAGGAGTTCAAGACCAAGCCCGGAATCGACGTTGCGTCGTCGGCCAAGGCGACGCTCCGGCTGCTTCAGCAGTGCGAGAAGCTCAAGCGTGTGTTCACCACCAACCCCGAGGGCCGGCTCTCGATCGAGTGCCTGCTCGACGACCGCGACGTCTCGCTCACGTACACCCGTGAGGAGTTTGAGGCGCTTGTCTCGGACCTTGCCGGCCGCGTCTCGAGCGTTGTCACCGCGGCGCTTGAGCAGTCTGGCCTCTCGTCGGCCGACATCCACTCGTGCGAGATGGTGGGCGGCGGCTCGCGCGTCCGCATTGTGCGCAACTGCGTGTCGGAGGTGCTCGGCGGCGCCGAGCTGTCGGACACGCTGAACAAGTCCGAGGCTGCCGCCCGCGGCTGCGCGCTCGCGTGCGCCATGCTCTCGCCGATCATCCGCGTCCGCGACTACGCCATTGTCGACTCGTCGATGTACCCGGTCTCGATGACTTGGATCGCCGACGACGGCGAGGCCAAGGCCTCGGCCACCTTTGTGGCCAACAACCCGGTGCCCAACTCGAAGCTCCTCTCATTCTACCGCTCGGGCCAGTTTGAGGTCGCTGCCGACTACGACGAGGCGCCGTACCCGGGTGCAGACACCCGGCTCGGCACCTACATCGTTTCGGGCTTCCCGGAGGGCATGTCTGCTGACGAGGTCCGCAAGATCAAGCTCAAGGTCAAGCTTGACAAGTCGGGCCTCATCCGCGTCCCGTGGGCGTACATGGTTGAAGAGTACGAGGTCGAGGTCGACGAGGCCGCCGAGGCCGCCGCCGAGGGCGGCGACGAGGCCAAGCCGTCGGGCGACGAGGCCGCTGCTGAGGGCGAGGCCGAGGGCGAGGCCGCTGGCAAGAAGACCAAGAAGAAGACCAAGCGTATCGACCTGACCGTCTCCGAGACCACCGCAGGGCTCACCGCGCCCGAGCTCATGGTCGCCCGCGAGCTCGAGGTCGAGCTGGCCTTCAAGGACAAGCTTGTCCGCGAGACCGGTGAGGCGCGCAACGCCGTCGAGTCGTACGTCTACGACCTCCGCTCCAAGCTCCGTGACGGCGAGCCGCTCGCCGAGTACATGCTCCCGGCCGACCGCGACGCCTTTGTCTCGCTCCTCAACGACACCGAGGACTGGCTCTACGACGACGGCGAGGACGCCGCCAAGAAGGTCTACGACGCCAAGCTTGCCGAGCTCAAGGCTATCGGTGACAAGCCCGCCCACCGTCGCGAGCAGGAGGCCAAGCGCCCCGCTGCCATCGCCTCGCTCCAGGCCTCCCTCGCCACTTACGGCGCCTTCCTCGCCTCGACTGACGACAAGTGGTCCCATATCGAGGACGCCGACCGCAAGAAGGTCCAGAAGATCTACGACTCGACCACCCAGTGGCTCAACGAGAAGCTCGCCGCCCAGAACGGCCTTGCTAAGACCGACGACCCAGCCGTCACCGCCGGTGCCCTCACCGCCAAGGAGAAGGCCCTGCACAAGGTTGCCCGCTCCATCGTCAACAAGCCCAAGCCCAAGCCCAAGGAGGAGCCCAAGCCCAAGGAGGAGGCCAAGCCCAAGGAGGAGCCGGCCGCCGATGCCGGCGCCGCCGGTGCCGAGGTCCCGCCGCCTGGCGACCTCGACTAAACCACAGTCCACACACCATCATCGATTGTCGCCACGTCTGGGCGATCAGTCATGTTTTGGTGTAGAGTGCGCGGCCGAGCTGTGGCCGTCAAAGTCTGCTGCGGAAACTGTTCCTCTTTGCAGTCATGATTCGGCCCGGTGGTCGATGCGGGCTTCAAACCCGTAGCTCGAGAAATTGAGAGGGGTTCGACTCCTCCTTGACTGCGTTTCTCTTTTTTTTGTACACCTTCTTATCAGCGTCACACCATCTCTTGCTGCGCGCATCGCCTCATTCCCTCTCCCCCCGTTTCCCTTCACTCTCACCCGTCGCCATCTCCACTCTTCCACTGCTCACCGCCTCCCCGACCTGTTCTACTTTCAATCATCCTTTATCTGTACCGCTTTTTTTTTGTCATTGTGTCCTGGGCTCCTCATCCCGTCACCATGACAAGTCCTCCCCTCCTCCCCATCTCCACCACTCTCTGCGTAGCTTGACGACTTGTACCAGCACGCCAACGTTTCTCTCTGAGTAGCTATATGTCACGAACTCCGCGTCGGCCAGCGAGCAGCCGTAGTAGGCAACGTGGGCGCGGGCAAAGACAGCGTTGGGGTAGACCGCAGGCCGTATCCGAGGCACAGCTGACAGCTGTGCAAGCGGCACCACCTGGAGACAGCCACCACGACAACGAGCTGCAAATATTGCCATCGGCTGAGACGGAGGACATTGAGGACTACTCATCGATCTATGGCTCATGGGACGGCGAAGCCGAGGCCGGGGTCGAGTCGGAGCTGGCGGCTCGGGCGGCGGGGCCAGCAGGAGCGAGCTCGCCGGACCTGCAAGTCCGTGTCAATGCGCATGATGCGGCAGCGGCGGCGGCAGCGGTCGGTGGTGCGGCAAACACCATCGCTGAGGCCATGCTCCGCAACCGGCGCAAAGCCAATGCCAGCTACCGCTATGCTACCGACCTCAACGCGTCGATCTCGGGCACGACGGCGGTGCAGGCGATTCGGACGCGGGCGCGGGGAATGTCGTCGGAATCGATGACTTCGGCTGATGTCGCGCAGCCAGCCTCATCGCAGGGGGCGCAGCCGATCTCGCCGACCTCAGCGAACGCGCCGCTCCCAACACCCGCTCCGCCTATTCCGCCGCCGCCGCCGCCGCCGCTGCCGCCGCCGGACGCGTGGGCCGAGCTCCTCCCGCGCGACCGGCGAATGATCCGCAAGCATGACCGGGTTAAGCGAACGCCGATGCTCGGCATTCCGCTCATCATGCCGATGGAGACACAGATGTTCACGCCCGGCTTTATCCGGGCGTTCCTCTCGGTGCCGCTGGCAGCGCTGGCGACGTTTGCATCGATTGCGTTTGCGCTCGCCGGCCTGGTGGTGGCGCTAACGCCAGCACACGAGCAGGCGTACGCGCTTCCGCTCGAGCACGGCATGTGGTTCTGGTCGGCGGCACTCGCCGGCTGGGTGGTCATGCGGCTCCTCATCACGGTGACCTACAACGTGCTCAAGCCGCGGTTCTACCTCACGTTTACCTTCTACCTCTTTGAGGGCGCACAGCTTGATCTGACCTCAGTCTGCTGGGCCATCACGCTCCTCATTGTCACGCCCACGGTTGTCGACTCGGGCACTGAGGCGCGGCTCCGAACGCTGCTTGTGGACATTCAGCTGATGGTGCTCTTTGTCTTTCTCGCCCACCTCATCAAGTTTGCCATCGAGCGCGTGTACCTCGAGCACATTCACTTTGAGTTGTTTGGCGCAGAGCTCGAGCAGCACGTCAAGAACGAAGAGATTGTGTGCAAGCTGACAACATGCTGCAAGAGGGCCAAGGAAAAGTGGATGACGCCGGTCATGCCGCCGCACACCCACGACCTGCACAAAACGATGCGGGCGCTGCTCGGGCAGGTCCTCTCGGACGATTTGCATCTCTTCTCCGAGGGTGAGAAGCGGCAGGCGTCGGCTGTGCGGGCGGCGGACTTGATGGAGAATCTCGACCGCAACGACAAGGGCTACTTCAACCTCGCGGACTTGGAGCGGGTGATGGACCATCCGGATGCGGTGCGGGCCATGTCGATGTTCGCGGCGTCGCGACGGATCAACCTGGCAACGCTCGAGGTCGACTACGACCTTGCGGTCTCGACCATCTTTGACATTTTCCAGTCGCGCGAGACGACGTACCGCATGCTGCGCGACCGCGGGCAGGTTGCCTCGGTCCTGCACGCCTTTACCGGAGCGCTCTTCTGGTCACTAGTCTTTTTCTTCATCCTCTCGTTCCTCGGAGTTGACGTCCTCCAGGTCCTTCTCCCGCTCCTCCTCGGTCTCGCGTTTATCTTTGGCTCGTCAGCGCAGGCGGCGTGGCAGTCATTCCTGTACATCTTTGTGGTTCGGCCGTTTTTCACCGGCGATCGGTTCACGCTCGAAGGCTACCCGACGCTCATTGTGGACTCGATCTACCTGTTCACGACCGAAGCCCACTCTCCGGACGGGCGGCAGTTTATCATCCCCAACTCGATGCTGTTCACCTCTGTGCTCACCTCGTACAAGCGGTCGAAGGACTACGCCATCAACGCGACCATCAACATGGACTCGCACGTGACGGCCCAGCAGGTCGCCGACATCGAGGCCCGGGTCCTCCGCTTCTTCTTTGACGACAACTCGGCGCCGTGGAACACCGACAACTTTATGGTTTGGGTCGACTCGATCGAGAACTCGGCCAACAAGCTCACACTCAATGTGTGGATCGGCCTCCTCGGCGTCTCCTGGCAGAGGCCGGCCCGATTCCTCGTCCCCAAGTCGCGTCTTCTCCTCAAGCTGCAAGAGATTCTCATCGACTTGGGCATCACCTTTGTCCATCCCACCCAGCCGATCGTCCTCGAGTCGTCTTCGATTCCGCGGATCAAATCTGATTGAACAACAACCGTTGAGCACGGGGCGGAAGGGGGGGGCGGGGGGTGAGGGGCGGGGCGGGGGTGAGGGGTGAGGGGGGCGAGCCCGTGAGCCGACGAGCGGGCACGGGCTGGCGACGAGCTGAGGTCGAAGCACTCCTCTCCGAGACGCCATCAACCTCGAGTCTTGCTCTGCTTCGCAAGAGTCATAGTCAGCAAGGAGGTGCGGGAGCAGCCGTGACTAGAGCCGAGAGCGAGAGCGAGAGTGAGAGTGAGAGCGAGAGCGAGAGCGAGAGCGAGAGCGAGAGCGAGGTGGCAGGCGGAGGTCTGAGCGGACGTAATGGCGACGGCAGCTGGTCGCTCGAGCAACAGCCAAAGGTGGACACGTGGGACAGGAAGGAGCGATCGGACAGGGGCTGGGGCTGGGGCTGGGACTGGGGCTGGGACTGGAGCTGGAGCTGGAGCTGGGGTTGGGGCTGGAGCTGGACGCGCACGGCAGCGGAGCCACTTTACCTCCACCGACCGATCACAATGGCAGCGCCAGCCGCGTAAGTGGTCCGAGTTCTCGTCGGCGGCCTCGTTTCTGTTCAAGGGCTTTACCCGTGGTGTTGCGCTTGAGTTTTGGACTCCACTGGGGCTGTGGTTGCGGCATGGCGAGGCCGATGGGAGTGATGCAGGAGGTGGCGCCTCCGGTGAGGCGAGAGGAGCGGGCGGCTCGTCGGGCGGCAAGGGCGACGGACAGTGGGTGCTGGCGGGGCTGACCCGCTTCGCCTCGGCGTCACGCAGCGCATCTGGAGTGAGCTACGCACTGGATGGCTCGCGAATCTACTACGACTCTTGGCTGCGAGTGATGAACAAGGAGCTTGGACTCTACGCCATGGCGCGGATGGGCTCGGCCGCGACCGACGACGTCAAGATGAGCGTGAAGCGGGTGGTGAGCGAGCCATGGGGCGTGGCCGAGACGAGTGTTTCAGCGCAAGTGGTATTTTACCTCCACCGGCGGCTCTCGTCCAAGGGCCACCGCATCCGGCGAGTCTCGCGGCACTCGGTCAAAGTGGTGGCCGAGACCGCGGTGCCGTGGTTCCGGGACGGGGCGCACGGGACGGCGCTGGCGATCCTCTCTCGGCGTGGGCCCGAGGTTGGCGCCGACATTGTGTTGCCACTCTCGGCAGCGGCGTGCGTTGGCGCCTCGGTCGGTTACTCGCTGAGCAAGCGGGCGGTCAAGTGGGTCGACGTTAAGATGGAGGTGATGGACGACGACGCGGTGGTTACGCTCTACTCGCAGGCCAAGGGCTCGAAGATTGGGGTGACGCTCGCACAGTGGCCCGGCCGCAACACGGTGCTGGCCATCGATATGGCACTGGCCAACTCGCGGCTGCTGGCGCGGTACGCCATGGCGTATCGGGTCTCGCAGTCGTCGATTGTGCGAGTCCGCCTCGACGGCGACTCACTCGCGCTCTCGCTGCTGTATGGCTCGGGGGCGTTTTCGTTTGCTTGCGTCCTCACCTACGGCGGCGAGAACGGTAATTTGGCACTCGGTCTTGGTCTCCAACTCGACGACATGTGCTAGTGCACGGCAGTCTCAAGGGCGGCACGGAGGGCGGCACGGGCACTAGCGTGCGAGCTGTGGCCGGCCGGCGGGGCGAGCGAGTCCCACAGCGCACACTGGCGCTCTTCGTAGTTGTGGCCAAGTTGCGAGTTTGCGGCGATAAAGTAGACTGGGCGCGAGGAGGTGTCGTAGGCCGGCCACGCCGTCGCCATGGGCTTCCCGAGGGCAAAGTTATGCCAGAGCTGCTGGATGGTGGCCGAGACGGCGGCGTCGGCGGCCGACCATGCGCACGGCTCGGGCGGATGCAGCGGCGGCGAGCCAAAGGTGGCCGGCACGTCGGCGTAGTGATATGCGCCCATGTACTTGTGCAGGTCACGCGGGTAGTGATCGCAGTGCGGCGGGTGGTCGTAGACGTAGAGATGGGTACGCGCCGAGCCTGCGGCGAGCAAGGATGCCGTTGTCCTCGTCGGGCAATGGAATACATAGTCGGAGAGCATGTGGGCCCAAGCCGATGCTGGTGGCACAAGCTGGTAGGCCGAGAGCGGATAGGCATCGAGGATCTGGGTGACGGCGGCCGGCGGCCAGAGCGCAGAGAGGCGGGCGACGAGCGTGTTGTTGGACATGTTTCGCTGAGTAGCGTTGGGCATGACAAAGAGAGTGCACGACTGCGCGCAAGTGCCGGCGACGACTGGGACATCAGGCTCAACACCGTCACGGGCAAGGACCTCATTCGGCTTGCCGGTCACGATCATGCCGTCGATGACGCCGCCGTACGAGGCGCCGGTGGTCTCGCCAAAGGCCTGCAGCGGGAGGGCATGGAGAACGGTTTGAGCTGAGAGCTCGCGGAAGCAGGCCAGCTGGGCGGGGGCTGGTTGCGGAGATGGGCGCAGCCTGTGGCGAGCGCAAAGGCGTCGCCTTGGGCAAGGGCGTCATCGAGCGGGGTGCCGGCGTCACAGTCGGGCGACTGCATGATGGCGCGGGCAAAGAGGGAAGACTCGCGGTGCTTGTGCCACACGAGATGGAAGCAGACGGAGATGGCGCCTGCCGACTCACCAAAGAGAGTAATGCCAGCCGGATCGCCGCCAAAGGCCGCCACGTTAGCGGCGACCCACTCCATTGCAGCAGCCTGGTCAAGGAGGCCGTAGTTGCCGGTTGTCACCTCTTGGGCCATCGAGGCGCGGGTGGCGAGAAAGCCAAACGGGCCGAGGCGGTAGTTCATGGTGACGACCACGGCATCTGTGAGGGTCAGGTTGAGGCCGTTGATGTCCTGATTGGCGGACGAGCCCGAGACAAACGAGCCGCCGTAGATGTACTCGAGGACAGGCCGTTGAGCTGCCGAGTGATCGGCGGCAAGCAGGGCTGCCTCGGGCAGGTAGAGGTTGATGTAGAGGCAGTCCTCCGACTGAACATGGGCCGGGACAGCCGTCGATGGCAGCTGGACGCAAGACGGAGCAAAAGCTGTGGCATCAATGTCATGCTCGGCCGCATCGGCCGGAAGCTGAACTGGCGGCCGCCAGCGGAGCGAGCCTACAGGCGGCTGGGCAAAGGGAACACCAAGAAAGACCACCGATCGAGTGCCCGTCTCCTTGTGAACGTAGGTAGCACCAGTGAGCTTGCCTGTCGTGGTCGGCACCACGTGAGTCACTGCGTGGTCTCTCTCCCAGGCAGGTGCCGTCATGGGGAAGCGCCGAGGGGCACCACCAGTAGCCGAATCAGCAGCATCAGTAGCAAAGATGACGAGAGTGAGGACAATGAGAGAGGCAACCAAGCACATGGTTATGTGTGTGGGTGAGTAGGAGGAGGAGGAGGAGAAGGAGGAGGGGGGAGTGTGGTGGAGTGAGGTATGCTGTGGCTGTGGCGGTGGCTTGCCGCTTGCATGCCGCAAGTCACACGACTTGCTACATGTGCGCGTGCAGCAATTGGGGGAGCGGGGGACGATGCGAGATGATGGAGATGATGGAGATGATGGAGATGATGGAGATGATGGAGATGATGGAGCTGATGATGGAGATGATGGAGATGATGGAGATGATGGAGATGATGGAGCTGATGATGGAGATGATGGAGATGATGATGATGGAGATGATGGAGATGATGGAGATGATGGAGATGATGGAGATGATGGAGATGATGGAGATGATGGAGATGATGGAGATGATGGAGATGATGGAGATGATGGAGATGATGATGGAGATGATGGAGATGATGGAGATGATGGAGATGATGGAGATGATGGAGATGATGGAGATGATGGAGATGATGGAGATGATGGAGATGATGGAGATGATGGAGATGATGGAGATGATGGAGATGATGGAGATGATGGAGATGATGGAGATGATGGAGATGATGGAGATGATGGAGATGATGGAGATGATGGAGATGATGGCCCATGTTGGGGATGATGGAGATGACAATGTGGGTGGGAAAGGGGAT